TATATATATATATATATATATATATATATATATGTGTGTGTATCCAAATCAGTAAAACTGAGCGGCAAGTTTTTTTTGGCTATTTGCAGTAAAATATCAGCCAGATGTTGCCTGATATCGATGCCTGATATTGAGCCAGATGCTAAAATAGGCCTGATAAATTGGTCCGCCACTTAATCGGTCATGCTCTACACTCTAATGTGGATTTTATTTTTGTTTTTCCAGATGCCTGCACACTTACTCTGGACTCCAAAACAGCACACAAGAATCTGCTTCTATCTGACGGGAACAGAAAGGTGACCTGGGTAGAGAAAGAGCAGCCCTATCCTGATCACACAGAAAGGTTTGAGCACTACGCTCAGGTCCTGTGTGAACAGGGCCTAAAGGAGCGCTGCTACTTTGAGGTGGATGTGGTGGAGCCCTGCACTGTTGGCCTAGCATACAAAAGCATCAACAGAAAAGGAGACACAGTGAACTGCAGGTTTGGGATGAATGAAAAGTCCTGGTGTCAGAGTTGCTCAGGACATGGTTGCTACATATGGCATAACAACAATAGTACTTTTGTCTCCTCTTTGCGCTGCTCTCGTGTTGGAGTGTACTTGGATTATGAGGCTGGCAGCATATCTTTCTACAAAGTTTCTAATGACAGCCGCAGTCGTCTTCACACCTTCAAAGATCTGAGGTTCAGTGAGGCCCTCTATCCCGCCGTTCAACTTTATCCTCATTCTTCTGCTTTTTTTTGTTAGCTAACATTACATTAGGAAAGTGCAAAGCACCGGCGGGAGTAGAGAGTGACGAGTTTCTTTAATTTTGGTGCTGCAATATTCCAAAGTAAGAAAGGGATCTGCCTATATATCCAATATTACGACTAAAAAATTTATATATTGTAGAATATTCTGGCTGGCTCGCCAAATATAGAAGCAGCTGTACTGCCTTATATTTCCTTATCCATGCCCTTATAATCCTAGCAGTACATGCTGAAGGTCAAGTATGAGTCTTAGCAATAATAAGGTCCCTAATGGCTAAGATGTTTTGGCATAAACAGAGAACGTCTGTATAAACATTCTTTCCAGTGTCAGAGCAACCTCTGGCTTTCACCAGCACACGTGAATTCTGGTAAGATTTCGACATAATATTCCGTTGTGCATGTGCATTGAGATGAAGCCTGAGATAAAATGAGAGTTGGGGGGGAAAACTCAGATGTCTGACGATGTGGCGCTGAACTTAGCTGTTGAAGACAGCTGTAGGAATTTGAATTGTAAATAAATGTTTCCCCCCTCCGGAGGACAAAATGATGTGAATCGTGTTCAGGTGTTCTTCTTTGTGTCATAAGGGAATTCTACCAATGAGCTTTCACAATTGGTGCATTAATCAGTATAGGCAGAAAGCTTGCGCTGGTCACTGAATTAATTTAAGCGATTCACCTTTTTGTCACCGGATTGTGCTGCAGCATAAATTGGCATCTTGAGATAAAAAAGGAGCTGTCAGAGCTGGGTTGGTTATGGAATCATTAAGAGTAACCTGCTGAAGTGAGGTTGCAGGATAATGTTAGAAATTGGTGGAAACTCTCGGTCACGGATTATAATTGATTATGAATGATGCAACTAAGATAAATAAGTACTTATATGTTAAGGGACCGCCTTTAATTACATGTTGCCGAGTTACAGTTCGGCTGAGCCTGAAGGGCTGTGTTGTTGAGGGACTATATTGAGATCTTGTTGTTATTGTCTCCGGAGAAAGAAACAGAGAGCAGGTTGGCTCTGTGTTGATGTTGCTAGACCAAAAGTTGTTAAAAATAGTTAACAATTGCGTGCAAATTAGTTAAATTGGCTGCTTGGGTCTATGAAGATATGATGATGTGCACATGAAACTAGTTGTCATGGCCTTAACAGTATTAATTTTGTGTGCTTGAAGAGCTCTGAGATGTGTAATTATGTATGATCAGTGCTGTTTGAAGTGTGTGTGTTTGATATCTAATCGTACACTAAAAAACAATCTGTTTAAATTCAGACCTCCTTCAAACTGTACTGAATTTCATGGTTTTCTTTATAGCAAAACTATTTTGTAACATTATAATGCATTACGTTCTGGTTCTGAGCACATTATTAGACTTAGAACCAGCATGAGGCAGAATATCTCATATCACATTTAGCAGAGATAGGTTAGGACTTAGAGAGAACATGCTTATCAGTTCTTGCATTTAGAATTAAATAACACTGATATTTAGATAACTTAATAACAGAGTAAGATTTTGTCGTTTCTTTTCTTTTTCTTTGTTCATTTTAGAAAAACTCGTTTCCAGCTTTGGGAGACAGAACTCACACTGAAATACTGTGCACACTAGCTGATGTTTACTTCAGAAAGACTGAATTAGTATTGTGAAATGTATAAGCACTAACTAATAAGCTAAAAAATCTTCAGAATATGTTACCAATAGCCACTATGTAAATAATTGCAACGGTTACATCCTGAATCCTATGGGATGTTGTCAGAACTTTTATTTTATTGCTACTTTAAATTTTGAACAGTTAAGTTGAAGAACCACCAGCTATGATTTGTAAAGATTCAGCCCAACAGTGGATCTACAGGTTTATTTTATATATCAGAAATCACTTTTCTTTATTATCACTACATTCTCCGTTAAGGTTGATAAACATGATGTATTATTCGATCAAAGGTTTGAATGGAATAGATCAAACATTTCCAGACCAGTTTTTATTTAAGTACATAGGCTCAGCCTCAACACTACAGGACAGGACAGATTTTAATTGCATACTCTGCATTAACAATGTACTAATTACCTTGCTTTAAGTTTCTCTTCACAGATGCTGCTAAACCTGCCTTGAAACCTTTTCTGAAGGAAGACTCATGGTCTGTGCCAAATATCATAGTAAGGTAGGAAAACTATAAATGGATATTACATTTGATGATTATTTAGAGCTCAACTGCAAATACTTTGGAAATGTTCCCAAATTTAGTGATTTGAAACAGTCTATAATATTAAGTACTAAATCAGAAGATGGAGACATATGAAAATTATGTGACTATGTTAGAATAGGTCATTATTCAAACTAATTAAATAGAAACATTTAAAAAGAACCTCCTAGTGATTATCTAGCCACAAAGTAGCACATAAAAATTAACATGTTTACCCCTTAACTATATGGGATACAACTATTATAGGATGCAAAGGAAGCTGCTAAAAGTAAATACATCAGAAAAACTTAACTTGAAACTGTCTTCAACATAAAATAATTTATAAAGGATGAAATCTACAGAAGCTTTTGCAGGATTTAAAGACAATACATTTCCATAAATTAGAGATTCTATGAATCCTAAAATAATAAAGTAGACATGTCTTTGTAAAAACGTTAAGTGAAACTTAAGACATCGGTATTAAGACTGGTTTCGCAATAATAATTCAAGATGTTTATTTAAGTGGGATTTGCTCTTCCCCAGCGTAAGGACTAGCTATTTACTTAACGATAAGATACAGAAGTAGAGAGTAATGTTTGAAATGTTTTGTACAAATTTTACTTGGATTATAACTTAACTCTGATATCCTAAAAGTGAAGTTACACATATTTGCCTCAATATATGAGCAAGTTAAGTTTTTGAGGCAACTAATAAATAATGCTTGAAACAGAACAAAAGCAAAAGATCTGGTTCAAGAAGTGAAGAACCGATTATATTAAGAGACATAAGAGGCTAGTTATACTTTGGATTAATGAAAACTGTTTACTGCACTAAAGATCAATATAGAAACAGATCAGAATTCAAAATCAGATGACAAAAAACTTGAAACACCAACACTTCTAGCTCAGAGCCAGATAAAGTATGTTAATACTTACACAAATAACTTTGCGTTTCGAAAGACGTTTTTCTGTCTGTCTCTCTTTGCTTGATCCAGGGAGACAGAAAACTGTCACTCCGCATTCGAGTCTGATTAAACAACATCTGTGCTACACACACTCATTCAAAGTCCACAGGAAGAGACCCTATTTATTTTTCTAGCTTGGCAGAGAACTACAGGGATAATTAAAGTTAGAGTCAACACACAAAGCTTGATAACATTCTGGAGCATCTGTTAAGAAAAAGATGTTCATCTATTGTGGATAGGTGTTGCTGTCATTAATAGAAGAATAATTTGGCAAGATAGGACAAACAACACTGATATGTGTTTGCGCAACTTAATCCTAATGCTTATGAATATCCAAGAGGAATCGGAACATCCTTAAATAGGTTAAATTCCTAGTTATCTGTATAGAACCAAATAATATCTGACAACAGGATAAACAGTATAATAAGTTACAGTTTGCAATGGTTTGCAACAGCAGGGATTTGTTTCATTTAAATATCAGATTTTAGACAAATAAGATGAAAAGTTCATTATTTCTGTCTCCAATACGTAATGCAGATTGTCACACATGTTCTTAATACATTTCTAACAGTAGATTACTGAATAAAAAAACAGGGTTTTTACAACTGGCAAAGCACCTTAAGAAGTTAATTCAGGAATATTATGTAAATGTGAGATTATGTGATCCAAGTGCATAAATGTCCAATAAATTCTAGATCTAGATGTCTTTATAAATGTTCTTATAAAGCACAGAAAGTCAGAATGCAGATTGTCTTTACAAATAATGTAGGATGGCGCTCAACTTGCTTCCAGAGGAAAAGGATTTCAATTTTTTTTTTTGCTTATATTCTCCTTTTACTATACTGCTATAATCTTTACTCTTTCTTACTATTCTTGTGCATGAAAATCCTGATTAACATAATTGGAACAGAAGTCTAACATAATAGTAGACAATATTTTCAGTGTTTAATTTCAGGGCAAAGAGAACCAAATTGCCCCTAGATGATGCCTCCACTCTGTGACAAAATGGTTGAGCCTAGGTACGCTATGGAGTCTGAGAAGAACGCCTGAGAGTCGAGAGTGGTTTGACCATATTATTTATTGTCTTTTCTTTTATAATTTATTTCCCATGTGAGTGGAACCTGTTTAAGGGTTGCGTTGTAAATTCAAATTATTATTTTACTAATTTTTTTCTTTTTATTGTGTCATTAACATATAATTGGGAATTGATGCACTTCGTGAAAAAAGGACCCAGGAACTCTGTGATGAAAAGGACCTTACAGAGGAATAGAAAAGGTGATGAAGTTTGATTTTATTTATCTCACACTCAGCTGTTAACAAATATTTAAAATACAAGATTTCTGAAATTATTGTGGAGCGATTTGAAGCTGTAATACCAATTGCGCAATAGGATTGGACCGCCATTTTCTTTGAGTAAAGTTTTCTCCTGTTTTTGTTATCTTAGGAAGGTAAGATGATTGTAATTTATTTCATGTTTCTTTAAACAGATAAGATGATTCAACAAAAGATAGACTATTTTGTTTGTTGTTTTGGCCTGAGGTCCAATCTGAAGTCCAACAATTGTGTTACATGTTTTATTTCATCATTATCAGAAAGCTTAATTGTCTGAGATTTGAGTTTTACAGATTATTGAAAGGTTATTTGGAAATATTAATAATTGCAGATCAGGGAGAACATAAACCAAGAGACAATGGGACATTACTGTGACAATCAAAATTTGTATTATTTTAATTTGAACCTTGAATACAGAAACTGGACTCATGAAAAAACAAGTGAAGATGTGATACATCTCTAGATTTGGTTTCAAGATACTCTCAAGATCAAATCTGACAGGGAGATTTAAGGACACTGGGACAAGGACTGCCCTCACTTTGGATCCACATAAGCCATGGACACAAGAAGAATATGCGAGGCCCAGGGGACCAGGACAACATAGGAGCAGACTGACTGAACTCAAATAATAAGGGAGGTACATCAAAGAGTAATGAAAGGACAAGAGGAACAGCGAACTCTAGCTACTCGTCGAAGGAATGCAACTCTGAGGAGCGACCGAGAGGACCAGATGTGGTCAAAGCATCACAGGGGGGAATGGGATCCTTCTCTACTTGAATTAGATAAGTCAAACACTACATACTCCAATGGAAGGATTGGAATAATATCAATATTATTGTCTATGATTAGCTGGTATTTGCTGATAAGAACAGTAATTGTGGTTTTTCCGTCTTACTCATTTTGAGGGGATGGATTGTAAAGACCTGTGACACCAGGCATAAGACTGCAAAGCTTCAACTCTCGCCTGCAAAATACTGAAGGCATGAACATCTGCTCCTTGGTTCATGCCTTTTAAAAGCAAAGGACAGAGCCCTGAAGTGAAAAAACGATATATTTTTTTCAACAGGAAAGAAGACAACACAAGTATTGATTATTCTTGTATGCAGCTAATATAATCCTGATGATTGTAACATGCCATTAATTTGCATAATAACCTGTATTACTATCTTATTATTTCACATTGTAAACCATCCATAGCTGGCTGTTTAGAGGACTACTGACTGACTGACTTATGATTAACTTTTATTACTAATCATGACACTCAGTAACGGTTAGTTAATGGTTTCATTTAAAGGTTATATCTCCCAACTTACATCGATATCAGGCTGTGTCGATAACATTAAAATTTTGTTTTACATTTAAACTTAACACACACGTAAGTGCACTTAGTCGCGTAGTATTCACATCACCATGTAACATCACAAAGTATTTCATTTGCAATGAGCTACTAGCCTCGTGAGACCATCCTGATCTCGCGAACTTTCAAGGTTTGACTCGCTAATCAGTCTGGAGACTCTCCGTTAAAGAAAATTTGGAGCCGTTCACCAAACGAACGTCCAATCAGCGTTGGCTTTGAGGCGGGTTGAGGTGTGACGTAACGAGAAGCGCGACAGTTCAGTCTAAAGAACATGGCGGCTTCAGCCGATGAAACTAGCGTTAGCGTGGCTATCGAGCAAGTTTTATCGGAATTACAGAGAATTTCTTCACTGAAAGAAGAGCAAAACACTGCTCTGGAGGCTTTTCTCAGAGGAAAAGATGTTTTTGCTCTTCTCCCGACTGGTTTCGGCAAGAGTTTGATCTATCAATTGGCTCCTCTTCGTCGTCCCTCTGTTACGTCATGTGCTTCGTTGATCTGATTGGTTTATTTGGCCCGTCTATCACCAACATAGGCCAATTAGCTAACCAGTATTTTCGCCCCTTCCCAAAATTACTTAATCGGAAGGTTTCCACATGGATATGCGGAGCAAATCCATCTAAGCTACAGGGGGAATGTAGAATATTCTGGCTGGCTCGCCAAATATAGAAGCAGCTGTACTGCCTTATATATCCTTATTCGTGGCCTTATAATCTTAGCAGTACATGCTGAAGGTCAAGTATGAGTCTTAGCCTCATAAACAGCTGTCCCCTGTATCAGAAGATTCAGAGGGAGGACAAATATAATAAAAATAAAATTAGTTTCCTTCTTATGTCTTCAAGGAAATCGGGAATGTATTTCTTTTAAATTAGCAGAGGTGTCAAGCAACGAAATACAAATACTTTGTTTCTGTACTTAAGTACACTTTTTAGGTATCTATACTTTACTCCATTACTTATTTTTCCTCCTACTTTTGACTTCTACTCATTACATTTTCACACAAGTATCTGTACTTTTTATTCCTTACATTTTTAAAACAAACGTTACTCGTTACTCTTGGTTTCGGTTTAATGCAGAGGTCCAGATTAGCGGACCGCAGTCCGGTGTTATGCTGAAAAGTGCCTCCCTGCTGACATATGCATCCCCAGTAAGGGTGTTATGAACAACATTAAATCCAAAGATTTTGTTCGAGGTACGGCTGATTTAATTGTTGTAGTCTCTTGTTATTCACACATAGCAATAAACGGTGATAGCTGACGTAAGGTTTGAAACTGCAAAGCTTTGTCTTAAGCAGAAAATCAAAGACGCATCACAACTTTCACAGACCAGTGTGATGCATTCACGAGCGTCAGATAGCTATGGTGCATTCAGGAGCATAGGACATTTCGACACTTACAAGAAAAGAGACATAAACAGAGCAGAACTTAACTCATACAATAATGTATTTATTCAGAAACATTGTGGGCTTTCTTACAATACTGAATTATCTATAATTGTATTTCTGTTATTTTTTGATTATGCACATCTGCTAGGTTTTTATTCAAAAAATCTATAATATTACAGCAGCAAATTATCAAAGTTTTTCAAAAGCCTGTTTAAAAGCTCCAAATGAGGCTTCAGATCATACGGTGACAATTGCGCTGTCATTGTTTTACAGGGCAGAATTAGCATTTGCTGATTCTTGTCCTTTAACTACTGATGGATGTACTGTACAGAAATTAAGTGTCAACTCCTCTAAGATAGCACGGGATGCAATTTTTGGCAATTTCTATATATATATATATTTTTCTTTTCAAAATTCAATGTGTAACATGAATGCATAAAACCTAATATTATTTCAGTGTTAAATTCTGTTCTCCCGACCTTTACTGGTTGTTGATTTTCTTTATTTGTACCCCACTGATTTTTAATTGTTTTCCCCTGGTTTAATGTTTATAAATATTAATTTCACGTCATGTGCTCCATCCAATGCAGATCATTGGCGCCATCCACATCTAGTGAAAACTAGTGTGATTGGATGAGTCATATAATGCAGGTTAGCTTTAGTTGGCTAAAGGAAATCATCAGAAGCAAGC